TACACGACAGAACAAGATAAAGAAAGGGATATATTGCTGTGTCCCTAAATGCAGCTGTTGGTATGTCTTAAAGAATATTAGTTACACAAACAGGTCGATAAAGAACATTCATTCAGCTCGATATAGAATGATACTGGGAACTTAGCAATTTCATATTGATAGAATCTGATAATAGGGAAGGCCTAGTACTCATGTGAGGGACGATTACAGGGAAAGAGGGAAGGGTACTTCTGTGTACGGTGCAGAAAGCGAGACCTAAATCTCCATCTAGTGGCCTGAAGGAGAACTTCAGCATTTCCCAAAACCCTATAAGTGCGGTCGGGCAAATTGGATCATCGTGTCAGTCCAATGTGCCCGATGACGGAATGGCAATATTGGAGGAGCCAATATTTAGTCTATATTGGCAATATTGCCCAGGATGTAGCCAACGTACCCAATGTCGGTCCAGCATTGACGCAATATCTGGTTCTACTGGGGTACTGGGGGTAGCCTTGTCCTGCGGCTCCACGTTTAGCCAACGTCAAATGCTGACGTGCGGCAGAGCATTCAAGCGACTAAAGGAGGTTTGGAATGAGACTCTATATATTATTTATATAGGATTGTTCAGCTTCCCTACTGGGACCATGCCATCTTTTTTCTCTTGGTCTGACTGGAAGTACTCCAGGGTCTAGTAATTACTTCAATTGTCATGTTTAGAGACCTTCACTTCCTACGCAGGGTTTGAACCCATGTGATTTCAATCATCTATCACATGGCTCTCATTCTTCGATGGACGTGCTTTTTCGGTAAGACTCGTGCTATCATGTCTTTTATCACACCCGAATCTAGGTAACCCCTGCCAGGGAAGAAAACGCGGTCTCCATGGTTCTTTTCATCCTCACCCTATCGAGTCAAACGCCAATTTGAACCAGGCCTTGTCCACGATTAACGGGAGTCTCCTGGGATTGCTTAGCCGGTTTAAACAAGTGATTTGAGAATTTCGAGTGTCTTCCCTTACGGTCTCTTCGGGAATAGACCAAGTACGCACGAAAGGTACTGCGGTCTTAAATTCACTCCCTGATCACATAGAAATAGGGGCCACATAGGCGCCATCGCATCATCTTCGGGAAGCTTCTTGTGCAAATAACTGAAATAGATGTCTTATCCTAAGACAAGACAAATGTAGACTACGTCTTCGGCGCCGACGTACAATACATGGGCATGATCTTTATGGCGTAGCCCACTGTGATGCTTCCACATGCTCCCCCACTCGCAAGTGACGTGGGCCCAATGTTATATGCTACCTGGGATGTTGGAATTCGTCTCAAAAACTCTCGCCCATGAACAACTCATTCGCTGAGGCGAAATTGTAAGCAAAGTACGCTCCGCTGTCTTGATCCTGGGCTAGAATCAATAGACTAGTGCTACGATTCGTAGCTGACATTCATATAGCTATATATCGCCAGTAAGGACGTGGACAAAAGACTTGGGAACGGATTAAGTGTTGTATGAAAAATGCAGGGAACTATATTATCCAGGCATTGGGGTTAGAATTGCTAAGTTGGCGGCTAGGTGCCATCTGGGATCGATTAGTAGAACCTATTTTCCGTCGAGGTGATGTGGATGATTCCATTTTGAAACAACATTGGGCCGAGGACGAATGCAGACGCGAAAAACGTATTTGAACTTAATAGATTCCATGCGACTTCTCCAATCCATGAGTAGTCTGAACATAGTTTAAGTTTCGGTTCACTACGAACAGACGACATTTCATTAATTTTTTCTTCGTATTCTCCGCTAAACTCTCAACCTGAACCATGTCTAACCATTCCCATATTTTCTCGATGTCGACACAACGTTCTGGCGCCGAATGGGCAACATGGCTAACCCCAGCAGACATCGGGAGGATGGTTGGATGCGGATGCGGTCGGTGAGGGCGACACTGATTTTTTTTCAACCAAATTTGGAAAATTTCTTTCTAAGTCATCCTTTAAGATATTTCAAGTCTGAAAAAGGACTTTATAGCTGAATCTTTCTTCCTTCCTGTGCATGTAAACAGAAAAATATCCTTGAAAGCATCACACCTAAAATGCTCGTTGAAAAGAATGCCCCTTTTTTTGGGCCACCAAAATATATGTATATGTGAATATGTATAGTATATGTATATATGTGTATATATGAAATATATATATATGTGATTTCTATTGAAACTCCTTTTTTGCAAATACTCCGCTTGTCTTGAGACAACTTCACCACATCAGATCCAAATGAGAAATTGTTTAAATTTACTCCGTCATCTTTCTGCATGTTTGCTACCACAACATTTGCGCCAAACGTCACTTCAGCCACCGTCTTATCTGCACTACATCGAATATTTTTCTTGATCGAAATGCATTTTGGCCGAATGGGTGAACTATTCGACGAACACTGATGGAGTACAGAAAAACAACTGGGTCAGACCCACAATTTCCCTTCACGACAATTTTACGCAAGTTCTGTCTAAGAGAAATCTGGGGGGATACGGATCGAATTTAAAAACTGCCACGCTAAGGATCAATAATAGGGTATGCGTTACGACAATAGGAAACCCTAAATTGCATGCATGCAAATTTTCACAAAGTTCCGCCATGTAGCATTCAAGAGAGACACGTCGTTCGAATTTTGATATCCCTGGCTTTTGATAATGTATGATTTTGAGCCATGCACGGGAAACAAATGAGCTCTATTAGACCGACCTGAATCGCGCGTCGGGATGGGAAGCTGGGTTAGTAATCAAGTTTCTTGTTGAGTGCAGGCGAGTACGCTATCAAGGGGGTCATTTAAACCAGCCGTTTATAGCTGCTGACTAATAGGACACCTCTTTCCCTCAGCGTTCGACGCGAACACGTCATTAAATGATGTCACTCTTGGGCAACCCTAGAAAAACGTCCCCGACCCCGCCAGTGGAAATCCACCTATCCATTCGCGCCCATGTATGTCGGGCTAAGTGGATTTCCCCTCCAGGTGGATTTTACCCCGGGTGGATATTGCTCCAACAGTTGAAATAACGCCTAAAGGGAGATCTACCGGGTTCCAAATCCTCAGGGGGTGGTGGACGTTTTGTAAGGGAAGTATCTGTCAGCGAAACGCAGGGAACTATGGGAGCGCTGAACAGCATGAATATGACGTCATGGGGTACCTGGAAGCGTTAGCTGAGCAGCTTAGAGACACAAACCCAGAGAACTCGAGTTCCAAAGCTTAGAGGCCTAAACGAGCTATAGACCGATCCGATTGGTCCGACGCAACCTGTTGATCGGGACCGCAAAGCTCGGCCCAGCGATCAGGTTTTGGGTTGGGTAGGACCAGAAACTTGATCGCCGAATAGGCGTGAAGTAGGATGGAAAAAAAAACTGGTTCTGTCTAGAATTAGAAGGCAGGCGAGAATGAACTAGAATATGTGCAAAATAAGCAAAATGTTTTCCTTCTCATTCTGCCATTTTCAGTTATGCATTGTATCATGACAGGAAAGGGAGTTAACGCCGTACTCAGTTGACAACGCCATACATAGCAATGATCCAAATGAACACTTTCACAAAGGATGATTAGTCTGAATCACTACAGTTTTGCTATAATTGGTCATTTCACACTATTATTTGGTTATTTCGCAATAAACATTCGCATTCAGTTTCATTAAGTGGGCCATGTTTAGCTGGAAGTAGCTTCAAATCCAAGACCACAGAATTACCTAGACCTAAGAATTGCAGCGGCAATGCAGGTCTTGAATCCAGCGAACCATGGACTCGAGGGCCGCCTTCATTTCGTCTCTGCCGCCCTGCACGAACTGCTCATTCACTCGAACGCTGATTCTCGCTTCCTCACCGAATGTCGTCATTGTCACCACTTTCTCTACGGAAAACATATTAGGAATAGCCGTAGTCCAAGCCGCAATAATGCAGACTCAAAGTAACTCAATCATTTCGCATATAGGAATGCAAGACAATGGGAAAAATAACGTATCAATATTTTTAATAATGAGCTTGATAGATTATTTCCAAATGCGATCCTTGACATTAAATAAATGTGCTTGTTGACATCACTTAACATCCTGTCCCGCGATAACGGCTACATCACTGGTGATTGAATTCCTTAGACTTAAGGGGACGCAGTACCCTTTGATTTGGGTTGATTTGAAAAAAGGCACTCGGATTCCTATACGCTTGCTCCAATGCACATGAACCGCATATCAATGCCTTCCACTCATTGATCTAGTGATAATACTTAGAAGTACGGCACCAAGTACTGACTAGTTCTTGTTCTCAATATCTCCTAAAAGTCAAGATCAATTAAAATTCCCAAGGTTATTTCACGGAGATGTTCGCTACGATTAGGGATATTTGTAAGTTACTTTTAAAATTAAATTTGTCATATTTTCATGGTAGGGGTGCCAAAAGTGGGCACCATAGAGATCCATTAAAATGGCTTGCTTGCATCTCCAAAAAAAAATAAATGTAAAACCTGTTCGAAGCGCGCAAAAAAGGGGCAGCGTCAAGGGAGCTCCGGCATCATAGATCTTTACTGGCTGGCTTTCCGTAATTTCTTTTTCCTTAGAGGATGTCTCTTTGAAACCGGTTCAGTGGGCTTCCTTTGCCCTCTATTCCCTTTAAAAAGGGGAAGACCGTGTAGTTATGACATGAGGCTCGAATTGCGTGAAAGTCTTCGATGTGAATACTCTCACATCCGCAAGATAGCTGCCGAATATATCACTTTCTCATACCATTTTTCGGTCATCATGTACTCAGGTGTGCAATAAGTCTTGAAATTGGTTTTTAAAAAAAGGTTTGTTTAAAATTAACATAAAATTGGTTTTAATGTGCAATGTCGCCCCCGCCTGGGTCTATGACACCTTGGCAGTGGTCTTGTAGCCGCCCGATCCTTTCTTTGAGCGCCTCCACATCTAACGTCCTGGCCCACTGCAACACTACCTCTTTCACCTCAAGATGGCCGAAAACAATTTTCTCGATGTTGTTCTTCAGTTCAGTTCACCAGGGAAAGAGGAACCTGTCGCACAGACGGATATCCGGGTTGTACCGACGTTGGAAGAGCGTCGTGATGTCACGTTGGGTCATGAAGTCATTCACTGCGGCGGATCTGTGAGGTCGCGTGTTGTCCCACTGCCAAATGACCTCCTTCAGGTTCAACGGCTTTGAGCGCAAGGACCTTCGCAGATCACTTGTGTGACCAAAAAAGTCAATATTGCCCTAGAAGTCAACAGGCCCCATTTGGAGCAGTGATCTGGACGAAAAGCGATAGTTCGGAGAGAAGGCAAAGGACGGCCGTATAGTGAGATTGGAAGAATCGGCATGTCTCCTCGTACCCCTTGACCAAAAGTACCTGGAGTCTCCTGCGGGGTTTCATCTCTCAACTGGTCTATTGGGGAATTCCAAAGCCTTCCCTTAAGTTCCACGTGGGAAAAGATCGAGTTCTGCATGAAAAATATTTGAGACAGTATTTCTCAGGACACCATAGTGAGAATCGCTGAATTGACGATTAGGCGCCATCTCTCTTCGATTGGTAGAACCTATTTTCTGTTGAAATGATGTGGATAACTCCATGTTGAAACTACATTGATACTGTGATAAGCGCAAATATAGCAACGAATTAGCATACATGGGAATTTTTAAATCCATGAGTAGTCTCCACATACTGAAAATTAGATTAATTATGAATAACCAGCATTTCATTCATTCTGATTCTTTGGTTTAACCAGGTTTCAACATTTCAACCTTCTGTCAATGTTGACGCAACGTTGTTGTGAATGGGTAGGGAAAACCTGAAAATGTATTGAACATGTCTAACTGAGAACTATGCACTTCGGTTCCGCAAAGGTAAAAGTGCTATCAAATACTGGATATCGGTCATTTCGCCCATGCAGATGCTCGTATTACCCTGAATGGCATTATGCAAAATCTCAAAAAAACCATGAAAGTACCAGCGCCATATTCAAGTCCACCATACTACATACGGCCATCCTTCAAAATACAATTTCACAAGATGGAGAGGATCATGGAAATAATAAATGTAGCACTCGTTTTAAACTATGCAAACAAAGTAAAAAGTGTGTAGAAGTACGAGTGTTAGAGTAAGTGGAAGGTCTTATCTATTTAAATGCTGATACCATTAGTACAGTACTTTTAAGGGCACAAATCGTTCTTCTAACCTTGTAAGCACCATTCAATAAGTAAAAATGGCAACGAATTAGATTTTATTTTGACTTCTCTGTACAAACTTAATTCAAGAGAATATAAAAAGATTCTCATTTTTCCATTATCCCACTTGATAGCCCAATTTGATTACGCCTATAGCAGTGTCAGTTATTTCATGAATAACTGGCAAACAAACCCGCTATGGTTGAGCCTTCGGCGCTCCATTATCTTGGTTAGTGATTAATTCATTCATTTTTTGCGAAATAGGATACGTGTTTTAAGTACTCCCCATTGAAATTTTGACGTATGGGAACGAATATCTTGATTTTGATCAAAAGCATTACTTCTATGATTGCAAGTGTGTCTAACTTGAAATCGTTTCATGTGTCCCTTTTTGTAAGGGTGAAGAATACATTTTGAAATACTTCCATCCAATAATCTACGCTAAGGGGACATATTTCAACAGTAGGATTTTTCCTATACTCAGCAATCAAATAGGTACTTCTGAGGGAAGTTTAAATTATCTGTCTTTGTTTCGTTGGAACAAAAAAAAATTCAGGAAAATGGGACTTAAAAAAAGTGCCCTGATGGGTTTTAACGAACATTTTATTTCTTCTGAAATGCAGACTCAGGGAACTCCATGCCACCCAGTTTCAGCCTTATTTTTTTTCCTCTTTTTGTTGGCGGAAAAAAAATGTATTTGGAAAAGCCACACATGCAAAAGCTGTGATCTGAGGAGATGCGCATCAAAAATTGAATTTTTCCTTAAATCAACATCACGTCCGGTATGCGTGCGTCGGCTGTTACTTGTATACTTCTGCTCGATTCGCTAGGATATGAAAAATTATTTGAAAACATAACATCCCGAAGAAATATCCCCCAAAATTCCAACATATTGGAAATTTCACGTTTTTCCTGAGCGCAGTGCTTCAGCAGTCACGATCTTGCCAGGTTTCAGCTTTCCATGTGTCTCCGTTTGATTGAAGCGAAGAGAACTATTTTGAAATATGTTCCTGTATGGCATGTATCAACAAATTAGAAATTTTCCTGAACTCAGCATGCGAATAGTGACTTATGTCAGTCAGTCTGCTATTCACGATCATCAATATATAATAAAAGTATACTTTTTTATTTACACAACTATCCATCAAGTTCTTCTTTTCCAATTATTAAATATCTAGCGCCCTCGTATTTACTGGATCAAGAAAATAAGCCTATTGCAAAAAATGTGCCCTAAGCCGTTTTAACCGAAAGGTACATTTTTTTATTATTACCGAAATCAATCCTCGGAAAACTACATGCCTAGAATGTTTCAAACCTTATACATTTGCCCTTTTCGGTGGTGGAGAAACTTGCTTGGATAACCCAACCCACCCAAAAGCTATGCCTGGAGGGGATGCACCATGAAAGCTGAATACTCCCTCAACTCAATAATATAATGTCAATGATGCTTGTGCCAAGTTTCACCTTTACATTTCTGTCCAATTCGCCTAGACAATATTTTTTTTTACATCGCCACATGAAAAAATTCCCTAGGGGATGTATCTAGACGTAACATTTTCCTTTAACTCCTTGTCTCAGTAGTCACATTCATGCAAAGATTCCGCTTTCTATGTTCATCGGTTTAATTAATGGAAAGAAATTATTTTAAAACATCTCCCTTTGAATTTTGTGCCCCCAGGGCATTTACTTCCAAAGTCTGAATATTTCTGCATGCATCTTTCAACACTATATCAATACGCCAGGACAAAAGAAAATACTTTAAAACGTCGGCCCCAAAAATTTGCCCCCAGGGCATGGATCTAAAATTTTGCGTTTTTCCTGAACTCATCGTGTCAGTATGCAAGTCCATGCCACGTTCCAGCTTTCCATGTCTCTCCGTATTATTCAGTCAAGGCGAAATGGAGGGAAAGAGAAACCCAAAAAAGCCATGGAATGGCTGAGAATTGAACCCGGGTCCCCAGATTACCATTCAAATGTGCTACCAATACACCAAGAACGCACGCCATTCAGACACGCCTCTCGATGACATCCTCATCCTTCACTCAATATATTTAAAAAAAGTTCTCCCCCCAAAATGTGTACCCCCAGGGCTACTTGGCAGGTATCCACACCACCATGCAATTGTCCTGCACAGATCATGCCATGTTTTATTTTCCCTTTATACATCCTGTTGCAGGCTTCATATCCCAACAAGGGCACTGTCAGTTTCTTCAGGATACTCAAAGAAAGGATCGGGCGGCTACAAGACCACTGCCAAGGTGTCATAGACCCAGGCGGGGGCGACATTGCACATTAAAACCAATTTTATGTTAATTTTAAACAAACCTTTTTTTAAAAACCAATTTTCAGATTTCTAACCTTGTGGAACATGGTTAGAATTAGCGTCAGTCTGTCAGTCAGTCAGTCAGTCACGATCGTCTATATATATTAGATTCGTTTCGTGTTTTAGGTTTTTCTTTCAGCTCATTTCTCGGAAACTAAATCTCTTCAGATTAGGAAAATGTCCAATCGGACAAATTTCTCACCTACAAAGCGAACAGTAGGTCTGATGAAGTACGCTGACCGTATCCTATGACCTTTGATGGTGACGCTGCTTCCCAAATACGTCATATCTACGTTCGACGTCGAGTAATCCCACAGCAGGGAAGAGAAGATGAAGAGGTATTTCAAGAGTTTTGCTGGTATCAGTGTGTTAAATAAATGTCCCTTCATAGTCGCGGGATACCGAAACAGTGAATTCTTCTTCCTAGAATTGAGAGCCTTGAAATAGGACATTTCCCTGTCGTTTGGTAATTAAACATTCAAAGTTATGTTGGCTGAGGTAACCTGGTTACTCAAGTCGTTGTCTTCCTTTCGACGTAATGAAATGGCCATCAAGGTTTTCTTCATCCCACAATCGAATCCATGGTACACTGCCGACGTAAATATGTCATTGATAGTGCAACCCATTCTATGGCTGGTCTCTTTGAGTACCTTCGAAGAAATGGTAGGAGAGAGGACAACTAAATCGGCTGCACATTTGATTGAATTTACTTTCACATTTTTTCGGATCTGGTCGGAATGGAATGAAAATAAATTATTTAGCTTGCGGTACATGCAAACTGCGGCCAAAAGTTTTCTCCACCAGGAGTAATTCTTTGTGAGAGCATTTTCGCCAAGGCGGTCTGGAGGGACGTCCTGGTCGATAATCTTCTCGAGCATTCCTCTCAACAATCCATGACCATCGGTAAGAGCATGGGATATCTGGATGATGAGTGCTGTTTTTCCATTCGTACGAATGGGGACAATCAACACTCTCCAAGGGGACTTCTCAGCTGGGAGAATGTCCTTCGTACTCTCTTGTAGTAGAATCTCCAAATCATCCTCGCATGAAACATTACCATTATCAAAATATTCCACGTGGTCCTTCAGAGAGAAATGATATTCCTTCCTCCATATGCGGAAACCGAATTTTAAATCCATTCTCATGCGAAGTTTTTCCACACTCGCAAGGACTTCCAACCTTTGCAGTGAGGATGCTTTGCTCATGTACCCATCGATTACAAGTACGAAAGATATCGGCTCTAGGTGTGGGTTAAGTTCTGGACAGAAGATGGCCTCATCTCCTGAAAATAATGTCACTCGTTCGTGCAGAAAACGAACATAAATATCACAAAGCAACGGTAGACGAAGAAAATTGCCAGAATTGGAGATAATAGCACCCACCATGAAAGGCTCTTCAATATAATCAACAGCCATATGAACTTCTTGGACATTGCGTACGCTTCAGACCTGGTTTTCAAGAGAGAAAACGTAGAGAGTGAATCTTTAAGTTCGTTTCCAATTAAGTCCCTGCAAATCATGATTTGGCACTTGTCTCCGCTGAGGCTGTAATATTATTGCACTTATAGTAATGCCTGGACTTTGACCATACATTTCCGTCCGTCATCATTGATTGTATATGGAATAAAAAGCGAAGCGGAACATCAGGAATTTATCCCCCCGAAAATAAGCCTCAAATGATGGGTATTTTCCTTAGAGTAATTCCATTTATACCAAGGATATTAACTTATTAGTGATCTTTTTTGCATATTTTAACATCAAAATGATAGAAGCTGATGAATTTCGCAACAAATCTTGTTGCGGCATGGGAACCATACTGAAGGTAACTTGTTATCCTTTTTTCAAATCATCTAGGTTCATTCGTTGTTGGTTTTATTCCTGTTAAATCCCTGTTAAATATTATTTTCCAATAAAATTATTTTAAGAGGATATCCCGTAAGTGAGTATGCCCGGGAATTTATTGCATTCCTTTTGTTATGGGCATTTAATTGACAAAAATTGGTATTTATTTGCATACTTGCAGTACCACTTCAGTTCACTCATGCTCGTCAGCATGAGTGAACTTGGACTTTTACGCTTAGTTTTAAACCAAGCACCTCTGAATTCCTTATATTTTCCAAGAATCTTAACAGGACATCATTGAAGATGAATGATCCTGCTGTACATATCTCATGTCCATATTCTCTATTCGGCCTACGCACGTCCATAATTTTTGACAAAAACTGATGTCCAAAAACTAAGTATGTTGACGCACACATACTGGAACCAGGCCGTCCACTACTAGGAACCACGTGAAAATCTAGACATATCCATATGAACAGCTATTGTTGGAAAAGTGCATTTTTAATATTTTATTTCAGGGTATGGACATCATACTATAAGTAGCCTCTCATGAAAACCAATCATGCGGTTTCTCGGTTACCCCATCGATCGTAATGCGATTTTCAATATGAATATTTCCTTAACCCGTCCACAATCTGGTGCCTTTACCCCATTCCCATTGTTTATTTTCAGTGCTACGCGCGTTTTTTTCATAGAACCGACACAGGAGATAGTTCCTGAGGCATCAGCAAACGGGATTCAGTTACCAGGAAAGGAGAGTGCTATGATGAAGGCAAACATTTTAAGCACTGACTGTGGTAACATCGATGAGAAGTCTCAACCATGAGTGGCGCTGTGCAAATATTTTCATTTTCAACACATTTAATTTAGGGCGTTTCCATGCCATTAAATCTATTTCTTAATGAATTTCCTGGCTATCGCTTTGTTTTTCAATACCTGCTGGTAGGACTCAGATTTGATTCTTCATTTTCAACTTTCGCATTTTCAGTGTCGCTAAAATTAGTTGACTTATTCATACAAATTCAATGAGTTCAGTGATTTTCCTCAGTTACCAACTTCCTTGATTAATATGGCATTTATTGCTTCATTTCAGAATACAGAATCAGTTTTAAATTCTGTGTAGTCTTCAGGTTACACTGTCTTCCTCATCATTACCATGATATCTCTGTAGGCCAAGTATCCTATTGCGTCCTATGGGTCAATTGTCCTCTAGGAATCCCCTAACATTTTGAACGCAACGAACTTATGGAAATCATATGTAAGATTCTACAGGTCTTTGCAACCCACAAAACCGCAGCAAATCCTTTACCTATGATATTGCTATAGGTTTTTCATGTGTCAAAACACTATAGGAGAATGGAATGTTTCCTACATGAAATGTCTACAGGTTTCCTAAAGAACTCTTTCGTAAGGGTTGCTTCGCAAGAAATTGGTTGCTCTTGTTTAATTTCACCAATTTTACTCTATAACTTTTGAGAAAACTGGGTACAAGTTGCTGGCATTCTAATAAAAGGTTAATACAATGAGCATTTATGAAGTATGTGGAACATTTTTATTTGGGGAGACGCACATTGAGAAAACGCGCAAGGTACTTCCGGTATGATGCAGCCAAGATTGGACTAATTTTACACAACGTAATACACTAGTCTTATCCCTGATTAATGCATTTTTTTGGTGAGGGATACCATCTACAGGTAGGTTAACCTTCACGCATATGGGTTGTTTGCGTTCTTTCACAAATAGAAAGATTAATTATACCGCTTAACGAAATTTTAAAATAAAAATGAAGGGGAAAGGAGAAAGAACAGACAAACCATCATCACACGCCACAGCGAGCTCAGACCGACTCAGCGATATCCTTTCTTTCTTCGTCAAAGCATCTAGGAATGCCTGATCTCATTGAGGAATGCATGATTGTGCGATTCTTATTTCTCCGTTTTGACATGTGGAGACATACTGATAAGTTTCGGGCTTCTCGAAAATATTGTATGATTTTCATGGAATTTTCCTTTGTATGATTGTCATAGATACACTACATGCATTTAACAATTGTATCAGAAATGGATCATCAAGGCCACATGTTTTATCTTCAGGCAATGTTTGATTAGTCAAAGTCTGGGAAACTCTCTTTTCAGGGTGGTAATATCACGAAGAACATAGTCAAACGTGACATTTAATCAAACCCTAGGTTAATGTCACTTGCACCAGTGGTCAAATGCATGTGTTGAATGGTAACCCATCAGTGTAGTATGCATTTCATTAAATAGATGATACGAGACCCTGAAATACGTGGTATGTGCATGTGACCCCGTGATCATGGTACTAAGAGAAGAAGGAAAGGCTATTTTGTGATCGCGTCGGATCTGAAAGGAAAGTGTTGGATGAGACTCAGGACCGATTGCACTGCTTCAGTTAAGCCAGACTTTTATGCCAAGTCTGAGATTGGAGGTCTGTCTAAAATTATAGCCGGTTGCACTGAAACTGAGTAATCTCAAAGCCTGACTTTTAAGTATGTCTAATCTGAAGCCACCTTCAGGGTGTCTGAACTGAATGAAGTCTGACTTGAAACGCCATTATCTGCTTACCTTGAGAAGCTGTGGCATTGGTTCACAATGCCCAGCTTGAGAGAGAAGAAGAAACGTAATGAAGGGTAATCCGGGAAAGGATTGATCCCTCGGAACAGCTTAGTGATTTGAGCATTATGAAAGGTATAGACTTGACAGAGAAGGAATTTCCAAATTTGCTGACTGACCAATGTCTTCTCCAATAACGTTCATGACTCCTTTCAAGATTTCATGCTTCGGGAGTGGCTGCCCTCCTCCTGTTCGAGGTTTCTTTTTTTCCGAGAAATATGGTTTTCGCATCATGCACATAGACCCACTTCCATTTTCTTTTGCTGCCATCAGACCTCTCGGCTTCACCGACGCTGGTTACTTGAGAGCGTTGTCTAAATTACATATTTAGACCGATTCGAAGGATGCAATGCATTTAATTGTTTGTGTATTAGCAATTTCCCTTTCCATTTCCTAATTGAGCGGACCTTTCTCCTATAGGAAACCTCTTCATGAGGTTTCCTAAAGGAGAGTGGTGCGCTCATTACTATCGAGCATTATTTCTGTGAAACATATGGGTAAGATGGAAAACCTTTGAATCTCTACCTTCTTAACAGCTTCCGTAGCATTACCTACTGCTCCTGAGCTACATCCTTAGTGCTTAAAGCAACAAATGGTTGACAATAGTTAAGGGTTATTATTGGAATTACTTCATGTATGTACAGCAAAATATTGAGCCATCCATGAGAATTAGACTCAAATTATCACAATACTCTATATAGAGAATCCTTCCTTCTTGTTTTTGTTTAGAGTTGTGTTGCACTTTGAAAAGAGAATATTTTTTCCGTTTTCAGACTCAATCCTTGAGAAGCAGCTCAGACTCCGTGAAATTCTTCTTCTTCGGAAACATGAGGTTGATATTTGCAACATCAAAAGTCTGGAAAAGCTTCGCATTCGCTGAAAAAGCAAGCTTGCAAAACGTGAAATCCTACTATCTTTTGCGAAAAAGTCAGACTAGGATTAACCAGAGGCAGTGCAACCGAAGCTCATGTCTGACTTTTCAAAGTCAGACTGTCAGAGAAATCTGACTTATTCAAGTCTGACTTTGAAGGTATAACAATGCAACTGGCCTTCGTTCTTAGAGTTTAATATACAGCAAAAATTCTAATTACCTATGTTCATGCTCAGCTTACGAAATCATTCAAATGCGAACATTTGATATCGTGAAAGAAGCCCAGATCACCTCAGGTGACTTGAGATCTTCACTCAATGCAGTAAAACCAATGCTCTTATCAATTCAACTATTCTTAGTCTCTCCGGATTTGATGAACATGCATTATCAGCGTAAGTAAATACTACTTCACGTGTTGAAATGTGAACCTGGAATTATGAAGGGTCGGCATGAAAGAAAGAGAAAACTTTTTCTTGCAGGAATATGAATTTTTATTTTTCAAAATTATTCAGTAAATGGTGACGAATCAAGGAAAACATACTCATGCCATGCATAAAAGGGGAATATGTTTCGTGCTCACTTGCGTGTTTAGATTCTCCTATTCTGGGGTTTGTACATTTGAATTAATTTTATTTCTGAATATGTTTATGTATATATATGTGTGAAACGAACGCCTGTTCGGTTATTTTCTACTTACTTTCAATGTCATTTGACATCATTTCTCTGTCATGTTATGCTGCATGTGATGCCTCAGACTTGCTTCCCTTGTCTCCACGATAATGGCATATTACAAAACAAAATAAAACTGCGATGAAACAAAAACCACTATGAAATATATTTTTTCTCCTATTAATAGGCTTGGAAAAGGGTGGAAACTGCTTTTGACCTGAAATATTAATTTAAGGCAAAGCTGTCGGTCTTGCCGGAGCCAGTACTTAACCCTTACGCTGCGTACTTTTTTAAATTATAAATATGTTATAGAATCTTGGGCGATTTAATTCGCCTTTCGCTGGGAAAGGGTTGAGTTTGTTGGCCTCGGTGCATGGCGGGGCCTAAGGCTGCCATCATCTCATAATCTGAATCCATTGACAATATCCAAAATGTCGTCATTAATGTCGTACTTTATGGTACAAGAATGTGACAGATTCAAATTGCTCCGACTCCATTCTTATCATAATTATAACATCAACATTTTAATGTACGAGGTATGACAATAAAATAACGAGACTGACAACACTAATGCGTGTAGCAACGCTGGGTTACTGACGATTATTGCAACATGTCAGTGCATGTCTTAAGTCTGTGCAGTAACAAACTTCTCGTGATACTTCTAGTGATTGCAGAGCAGTACCACTGTAAACTACCAGAACTACTGTGTACTACCAGAGTATTAAAGTAGTGTTAGGGGCACTTGTGGAAAAATGGGTGATAATATTATGAACAAAGGATCAACGATGAATTTCGAATCAAACTCGGGAAAAAAACCAAACTGAAATCCATGAAATGTTAAAACAAGTATACAAAGATGTTATGTCCAGAACAAACTGCTTTTGAATGGTGTAAACGCTTTGCTGAAGGAAAGAAGTTGAGTTTGACAGACGACTTGGACGTCCGACAGCTTCAAAATTGGATGAAAACATAGAAAACGTGAGAACTCTGGTGCGAAGTGATCGTCGTCCTCATGTCAGAATGATTGCCGAAAAACTGTGTATCAATAGACAGTACGATTGATTTTAAAGGAAAATTCAGCATTTCAAAGACTGAAGTTGGTTTTTTCCCGAGTTTGATTAGAAATTTCACATTGATTCTTTGTTCATAATATTATCACCCAGCTTTTTTACAAGTGCCGCTAACACTACTTTAGGTAAAGTGGCATTGCTCTGCAATCACTAGAAGTATCATGACTAGTTTGTTACTGCACAGACTTAAGACATCCACTGACAGGTTGCTGCAATCGCCAGTAACCCAGTGTTGCTACACACATTACAGTGTTGTCAGTCTCGTTATTTTGACGAAAAGTCAGACATTGTATATGGCTCTGGAAGTCCATTCTACTCCCTCTTACAATCATCCCTCTTGTGGCGACAGCAAACGTATACATGTGTCTCTCCTCATTCAAAGGGAGATATGAGCATTCGCGCACTTAAATCATTTCATGCCATGGCAACTATTGAATACATATTTAGGGAGTGTTCATTTCATCCTCGCATGCCAGATATTTTGTTGCATGTTTTTAATTGCATATGTTTGTCGTTTTCTCTTTCTAACTTTCCTTTCATGATTCTTCGAAGGAAGGAAATATTGGCACTTGAATTTCGTGAGGCTGGTATGACAGTGAAACAGAACGTAAGTCGGGATTGCTATTTTCGAGAGACTTCAATCGGAATCATACAATTTTCATGCATCATAATAATTTCTCGTTTCGAGTTTCACCAAGCCGGACATGGAGGCTCGCCACGGATTGTTTCAATTTTCCCGATATCAATACGCTCAGGACGCGGTCCGAGATGGGCAACTTAAGGTCCACGTTCAGAACCCATTCGAAGACGCAACGAGACGGGTTTCCTGTTTTCGGCGTCATCCGCATCCCGCTTGGTCCTGTTTTCGCTCTGCAACAAGTTGAATAAATAAAATTTCACGAAGGTAAAATGACGAAAAATGATAACGAAATGAAGCATAAGGAACGTGCGAAGGAGAAAACAATTCCTTCTTACTTTACCTGGTAATTTTTGGATTTACTGGCAGGAGCGAATATTCGGTGCTGACGTAAGCGTAGTAGTAACTGTTTTCCATAGGATCATGCTTCCAATAATTCATGCAGACGAAATCTCTGCTGAAGAACATGTGGGTACCTTGATGGTATGTGATTTTTCCGTGCTTCCCTATTACCTGTAAGATATGATTGTTTTGTAGTATTTTTTTCTTCTTTCGAATGCATCTGTGCGTTGAGAAAAAATAAATGAATGGTGACCATTTTTGAATTTACATTTTCTGAGAATCCCTTCGACTTATTAGAAATCTCTTAATAAAGATGGGTGCAACTCTTTCATGATCCTCATCAAAGAAAAAAGTTAATTATCTCATTATTTAGACAATAAAGGTGAATGTCAAATAAAGATGGGCTTACAAGGACGTCACGTGAGACGCTGACGGTGGGATTCCAAGCGGTCGTGTTCTCTCCGTGCGTCCACATTAATTTCAGCATCTCCTCGGATGTGATTGGCAGCTCTGTCTGATTCCCACCCAGAAATAAATCAATGGACAATGTTGCTTTCAACGATATGCTCTATTTTTGGATGCACATGTACATTGCGGGAAAACGTTAGTGAGGACATATTAGCGCACTTACTGACTTTTTCGTTTGCAACGATGCAGAATTTGAAAGGAAAGTGTAGAATATATAATAACTCAAAGAGAAATGCCTTTTAGGATGATCAAACTTATTTTTTCCATCCTTCCAGCCACTCACTTCCCGGAGTTTTACTACTTCCAAGTTCCGACAAGGTGCCTAAGTAGCATGTTTATGTTCATTTTACGTAAAGTGAATGTAATTTTTTTCCCATTTTATATCTATTTTACACAAACCATCATTAAGATAATGTCAACATGTTTGCAGAAATGTCACATCTGTAATACGTAAACGGTGATATAAAATTAACGTAAATTTTACTTAAAATTGACATTCCCGTTTATATCACCAACCGCATGTTTACATACTTTTAACGTAAAGTTAATGTTAATTTCCCCCTAACATCCATTTAACGAGCCAATTCGTATTTTTTAAGGAATTGATACACTGTATTTCTCCCATTCCTTTCCATACTTCGGAACTCAAGGTTACTTGAACGAGTGCACAAGTACTCATCTCCACCAGCACTCAAGATTACCAAGCTGATTCACTAGTTCCTCCTCCCGTATCAGGACCACGGTGGGAGGTATAGACGTTTAGAGGAGCTCTATTCCATTAAGGATAGAGATCTAGTACTTGTGGAGCTTTGATCCTACTCTTCCCTAATCCCATCCACTGCTGTAATAACAAGCCTAGCTTCAGCATTTAATGATTTCCTGAGTCATATATTATTTAAATTATGTCATAATTTACTTATTTCCATATATATATATATATATATATATA